AGACGCTGGCATTCGCTAGATCGATATCTATACTTTCCCTGGCGCTGATGCTGGCGTACGCTCGGAACGCTGATGGACGCCATTGGTCGCTGGTGGACGCTGACGCAAAGTATGAACGCAACCTTATAAAAGGGCAGCAAATAACTATATTTTTTGGAATATCTGACGCTAAAAGTTTTAGCTGTGTCTTGCCATCTAGACTCTGAGTTAGTACCAGAAATAAAAATTACAAAGCCAAAAATCATTTTTATAGTTTCGTCCTTTCGGGAGGTCTACATATCATGTCATGGAATCCCATCCCTCTTTGTTCCCTCAGTACTATTTTTCACGTCATTCCTTACCCAACCCTACTATCAGACAACGCTACCTTAAACGTTGGTCCACTTCCGAGTGGTGCTTGCATATCAGAAGCATCCAGACGAAAAGGTGTTCCATTCAATTTCTCCCCAGGTCATCAAAGGTGAGTCATCAATAGCCTGAAAATCAATGAAGTATAGAAGAGTTGACAAAGAAACAGCAGGCCTGAAACACCACACAGTACAACTGCATTACACCGTGCATCAAGATTGCATTATTCTGTGCTTTAGCAGTTGTGCGGTGCGGTTGCACACGCCGCAATTTCACGACGCCTAATCCAGCTGTCTGCTACCCTCCTACTTCCCCATACACTCCACTCATGGACGCTGCTGTACGCTAGCAAGCACTGCTAGATCTTTCCATAATTTTCTGCTCGCTGGCGCTGGCGTACGCGCGAAAGGCTAGCTGGCTGACGCTGACGGAAAGTATGAACCCAGCTTAACACATTTTCCCCGCACTCGATTTTCCTACTTGCTGTCGTTGCCTGGGGCGAGGGTGGTGCAGTAGCAAAAGGGGGCGCTCGTCACGCGCACTATCTGGGAGTCATTTCCCGGTTCGGGAAAATTCTCGGGCATTGTATATTTCCAAGGTGTTTAATCTGTCCAGATCAGTTCGGTGAAATCAAAACACCGGCTTGTAATCTTTATATTTATATTGCCATGCGTCATATTTTTCATGAATTTTTACTTATAGATGCCTGAAGTACCGTTCCGAGAACAGGTTGCTCAGGGAATCACCGACACAATCGCAAAAAGATATCGTGACAAACGGCGTGCTGCGATGGAGACCGCTGAAAAGGCTCAGTACGTCAATTTGCCATTACCTGGGCGCGACAGTTCCAAAATTTTAACTCAGTGTTGACACTTTTATTTTCAGTAGAACACCGCGTTTCGGCTCTGCTCGTTCTTCCGCTCTATCAATGGCAACGCTTTCACCAGCAGCACGTCGATTGGCTTCGAATAAACTTGGCATACGTTTGCCGTCGTCTGCCCACCATCTGCGCGTACTTACGCCCACCACAAGGTTATTTAGCTTCATTTTGAATAGTGGCTATTTTGAGCTGTCTTATTATCGCTTTTGAAGATTGGCCAGTTCACGGTTGACTCCCGGTGTGCGATTGGGTTCGAATACTCCACCTGGCAAGGAGGCATCCGAGCTTGTAGTGAAGAAGGCGAAACCAGCACCAACGTCTTCGATCACCGACAACCTGATGCCAGTGTCCACCGATGAGAGTGGGACATCCACACGTCCCACCGCGGGTGATTTCTTTTAGTTACACCGCTCATTACTTCTCATAAGAGCTGTAAGATATGAACTTGACA